CATTTTAAACAATTCATTTTGTGTCAACCAAGGTACCGTTCATAAAACCATATTTTACGAACCCACGTTCAACAGTATTTTTAAATGCATTAAAATGCAAAGACTGTAAAAATTGTAAAAACCTATTTGAAGCTGAAAACCTTAAAACCACCGTAATAGATTTACCATTAAAAAAAAAAAAAGCTTATTTGAATAGATGCAATTCTCAAAATGTACCGCGAAACAACGTGTACAAATTGTTTAGTATATACGAAAGTATAATTTCTACGAAAAAAAAAGCAGCCATTGTAATTTTGTTTCATTCGCAACAGTCAAGTAACGAAGAAATTTTTCGAAAAGAAAAAAGAAAAATAGACCAGCTAGATATTGACCACGGTTACCATGTCTTAGACGATGCACAAACAAACCGGTTGACGCGAACGAATGCAAGTTTAGGGGGTTCCCCTGGTCTCGTGCATGCGCACACGCTTTTCACGTGTCGCGAAAGTGCTGATGGAAAGGGAGGAAGGGGTTGCAGCGTTTCGTCCCCATCGACAAAAGCTCTTTTAAGCACGAACGAGTACAGCACTTAAACGTACATATGCATAGCCGCGGAACACGGAGACTTGCAATTGCAACGACTCGTGATTCGTAGCTTTTCAACCGAAAGGGTTCCCCGCATAGAGCGCGACGAGTTTGAGTAGCTTAGAATCGAGCCAGGTCCAGGCTTGTGTGCGGTACATATCGCTCTTTTCACTGTTTTTCATGCTCTGAAGTTACTGGTAATCGTCAAATGACAGACACCACGTTGGTGTGGATTTTCAAAATTTTAACGTGCTTTCTGTGGTACTCGTTGCCAGAAATTTTCCGAGTGTTAATAGTAATGTACGTACCTAGGAAGATTTATAATTTGAATAATCGCCACCTGTTATTGATAACACGGTACTTCTCAGAGATAGGCAAATAGTAGGTAAAGGAAACGACAATGATAATTGATAATAAATAATAATGCAGCTTTTGGTATTCGTTGCAAGGAATTTTGTGTGAGTGTTAATGAAAATATAGGTGTTTAGGAAGGTTCGTAATTTAGGATTTATTTTATTTAAAATTTATTTGAATTTTAACTAATTAATTTAGGATAGAAAATGGTAGCTAGAAGAAATGATGATAATAATTGACAAAATTCAGTCAATATCGAGGCAATGTTTAAAATAGAGGGACATTATAGAATATACATACAGGGTGAACTGCATAACGTGACTACCCCTATTATTTTCATTTCTAGTGGAGCGATCAAAATCATTTTTATTATAGATGATATCATGGTGAAGAAATTAAACTTTTTCAATGTATTTTTTTTTTTTTTGAATAAATTTTCAACTCACCTTCACCTTTTTTTATTCATAATTCCATAGCTTTCTTTTCGCTTATCAGCTAGCAGGTATTGAGAAAAATTTTAGCGAGCTTAATGAAAGATATTTCTTTCTCTCTAATGGAATTATACGGCGATAAAAAAATTCAAGGGAATATTGATTTAGTACAAATTGAACGAAATGCAATGTTACATCTCTAAAAAAAGAATACATAGAAAAAGATCTAATTGCATCCACTTTGGAGGTCCTTGAAAATCCTATTTTTTGTGACAAAAAAATTTTGATTGAAATTTCAATTCTAATTTTGATTATTTAATGAAAAGTCGAATTGTTTGTATGTGAGAATTTTCAGTAATGAAATAGTCATTATTTTCACTACTGTACTGCACTGTAATCAGTTTCAAAATTAACATAACATCAGAAATTTCGAATAATAAAGATTCTGTTATTTCACCTAATAAAATCAAAATCTGGAAATTATAAGTGACATACGAATATCGTATAATGTTTTCATTCTTATTTTCATCTTTTTTTTATAATACTCACGTATATGTGTGGCATTCATTCTGTTACAGAATTCAAATCGGATGGCTATTCGTGTAAAAATAGAGCGCAAGGGCGCAGCAAAGAATATAGAGTACAGCAATGACGCTTCCGGTATCGAATTATCAGGAACTGCTCATTCAAGTTCGAGAGCTGACGCATGAAACGATTCGCTTGCAAAGACAGTTGTCCTCAGACTTATTCGACAATGCTGATCCTCCAGACGTGAATCACAATTTCTCCCTCGGTCAGAAGTACTATGAAAACGGTAAGTGACTCATTTTGTATAAAAGAAAAAATTTAGAATATATCAATTTTCAGAAAATTAGAAAAACTCGGTCGATAAAGTTTGTAATATTAATACAAAATTTAGACGCAACGAAAATTAATTAAAAAATAATTTCATATCACAGTTGTCACTTTAATAATAGTAAATCGTGTCACTTGGAGATCGTTTAAAAGTGATTAAAAGTGAATTTAGAAAATTTCATGGAGAAATCTTCGAAAAATTTAACCTCGTCTTACGAACCTACTTATTAAGAAAACTATTTTCTTCATTTCTCGTAACAATAAAATCTCTCTTTCGCGTAACACACCATTTCCATTGATAACTTCAGGGGAGAAAAATAAAGTTCGCTGGAACAGTTACACTGTCGATTTTTTTTACCGCACCGCAAATGTAAGTCGCGACATTACCGTAAGTGCATTGAACTTTCGATAAGAGTTAACGTTACACCGTTAGCTTCCAGTACCAGTTAGTAAAAAAGATTTTCTCCTAGTTTTTCAGTCGGTACAATCACTTTTTAAATCGTGATAAACTAGTTCGAACCTTATTTTTACAGAAATAGTTACCGATCGAAATTTCGGCGAAGCCTTAATAATTCACTGTAACAATTTCTTACTTATCGTAACATTCGATTGTCGTTCTTTTTTTCCTTTTACCGGAAAAATAAAACAAGTGCAAATGATTGCTTGTTTCATTTTACAAAGAGTTCTACTCTCTTAAAATAGTTGCTCTAGAGGCATAATTTTATCGACGTTAAGAAGAAGTATGAGGACGAAGAAAAAGAATTAGGTACTAATATATCATTACGTAATTTCCCGTTTAACTGTTCAAGTAATTGGTTGTGAGCAAAACCGTGCTGGGTAGCATGACGTGTAGAGAACCTTCCGAACATCTTCACAGTAATGAGACGATTTTAGTAATTTGAAGATACTTCAATTTTTAAAATAGAAATTCGTGGCTTAAAGCTGATCGAAACGTTGTTTATAGACTTTTCTCATCGAAAATGTAACTGTTTAAATGGCACCTTCGTTTGTCACATTTTCTGAAAATTAGGCAAATGTTATCTCGAGATGTTATTTAAAGCTACAAGCTCAGTTAGATAATTTCCAGTCTTAATATATGACATAATTTCAGCCAGAAGTTATTGCCTCAAGTTTTACTACATATCATTTAGTAAATTAGATGCTCGAGCACGAATTTCATCTTCTCTATCTACTTCATATTTTAAGATAAATAGGCGGGGACAGCAGTTGCGCAAAATTACTCCCAAAGCGTGTGCTGCTTTTATTAAGAGCAATTTTATTAATAACGTATTTCGAGGCTTAATATGTATACTTATTTTTACGATAGATTCGGGCTATTAATTCTTCTTCTTTTTTTAATTCAAAGAAGAGTAAGAGACTGAAGTTGTTAAATAACGAATAAATCTTTCGCAAATTTTACGTGATATTTTATAGTCGTGAAATTGCCAAGTTATAGCCTCTAAAATAGTGAAATTTCAATTCAATACTCAAATACAAATTCTCGCAAATCAAACGAGTCCGATACATCGCTAAAGTTCCTTTCACAAATTTTACATGATATTTTACAGTCGTAAAATAGCAAAAATTATAGCTTGCAAAATAGTGAAATTAGAATGAAATATTCAAATACAAATTCGCGTAAATCAAAGGATTTACATCAACGAAATTCTCATTTAAATCTGCATATATGCCAGTGACCGAAACATTCGAACCACTTGCTTAGCTGCACTAATATTTAATCTCCCTCTACTTTTCACTGCTTTAAAGCAGCCCGACTGCTTTTATAGAAGTTACTTTGTTTCTGTAGATTTTCTAATTGAAAACTTTCACGAGGAGTTAAATTAACACTTTGAGGACAATGAACTCATATGTACATACCTTGACAAAGAACTATGAACGTAAACAGTAAACTCGGATACTTTTAAGTAACAAAACTTACCTTTGTGGCAGTTAAATCATTCACGTATAACTTCGATATGATTTAGTTTAAGGAAAAAATTGAAAAATTGACCTGGTTCACATGTATCTAACTTTCACTTGAAAATTACGTGTTCGTAGTGACGTAATCCTCCGCACTAAAAAGGGTTAATATTGTTTATTTCGTGTGAGATATCTAATAATAGAGAAAAAATTCTTTAGAGTGAGATATCTACTGAAAAGTATATATTTATTCGAATGAAAAAATCTTAGAAGCTTTCGATGAAAAGTGCATGAAATTGGATATTTAACTTCTGTCATGAATTAATTAATATTAATTCACACTGTACACGCAATCTTCGCTTGTGACGTAATCCTCCGTCCTCAAAGGGTTAATGTTATTTTTTCTCCTAAAAAGTTCTTATATTTTTCTGATCTTCCATAAGATATCTGTTAACAGAGCTTTAGAAATAGCGTCAACCTCTGTTGCGAAGGAAAATTGTCCAAATGTATGATAGGATACATCGAAAGGAAAGATCTTCGCCTGGTACGCGTTTATTTCCGTGTTTGTCTCGACGGAGCGTGATCGTTTTCCGTTTCTCTCATAGTTTCTCGATATTATCAGCGTGAGACTGTGTATTCGAGGGATCCTTGGCTGTTCTATGTCTGGCAAGTGGCGTCTGTATGTCCAAGAGAGGCAAAACGGGTTGGACCAATGCCACACGATGCCAAAGCACTCTTGGTCCGCGTGTACACGAGACACCGGGAGAAAAACGCGTTTGCCGGATCTGTCACAGGCTCAAAAGTAAAAGCTGCACACACGTGCCACCTGCGACGAGAACGTCTTTGCTTTCGCGTATCGTTCGAAAGCCAAGCTTCGTCTGTTTTCCCTTTTTTTTTTTTTTTTGTTTTTATCTAGGTCTATCGCGAAACGTGAAATAGTAAAATGTCGCGAAAAATGATACACAGGGTGTTTAAAAAAAATATCAACCTTAAATATATTTTCTTTTCTTTTTGGAAAAGGAGGCTCTTTGAAGAGGAAATATATTTGTTAATACGATGCATTGTGTTGTCATTTCTGTTTTTATGAAAAAGTTACTGTTACAAAACCTGGGATAATAAAATGTCGTGAAAAGTAACACGCAGAGTGTTTAAATAAAAACGTTAATTTTTATTGAGACTTTGAAGATAAAATACATTTGTTGACACGATGTATTGGAAAAGTTACTAGCAGTTGTAATATTTTGTGCATCTTTGTCATGTGCACTGCAAATATTAAAATTATTTATACGTAAAAGGGCTAAAATTGCGTAATTTTGTATTTGATATTGCAAGTATACTTAATTTAGACGATACGAAGATATTTTTATATTTTACCGTTCATTGTTACTAACATGACGCTGTTAGAAGTATTAGCATTGAGACATTAAAACGATATAATTTTATGAATAAATTTAATATACGACATGACACGACAAGTGTTAGTAAATTAATTTTATACTGTCTCCTAATCATGGTTTTGTTTTGCAATCGTTTTTCTGATGCAATGATTCATGTTACCCCGAGACAAGGAAGCTGATTCCATTTAGATATCTGCAATTAGTGTGTAGTATTTCATGTTCTTGCGCGTACATAGTTATTTATGATGTTTCGCTATATTCTGTAAATTATTGCAGTTTGTTTCCCTAACGTTTAGGAAATAGTAATGTGTAACACATTTGTATCATGATTTATTGCAAGCACTGTTAAATAGTAGGAGAATTAGGATTTAGAACCTTGTTGAGGTTAATTGAAAATTAATTAAAAATGATTTTCTTAGAATTTGTTCATCTGTTTTCGCGCGCTAAATTCATTTCCAAGACAGTGTCCGTATTTAACACTATTTTGCTAAACTATGCAACATTCAGAATTACAGTTTTTTCACTATACTTTTGCGATTTTTATTCAACGTCTATAAATAAATTGTTTTGCGCGTATCAGATGAAGCGAACAAATTGAAGTGTAATTGTTGCAAACTCGAGATTGCAAGCGATTTTCATTTTGATATTATGCTCGTTTTGTCCTCTGATGAGATAATCAGTTTGGCTGTATTCGTGCAAAGCGACGGCTGTAAAAGAATTGAACGGCGAGCATTACACGAGCACACAAACGTAAATAATAAAATTTCCTGTTGACAATCCCGCGCATAGCGAATTACACATTATACGGTCGATGCGTCGCGTTTAAATTAAAGCGGGTATCCAGTGCGTTAAATTGTAACGCGACAATTATCTTTCGAGTCAAGTTGGTCTCCATGTGGACAGAAGCAGCGTGTGATGGTTTAATATGATGACAGTATTTTTATTCAAACACGCCCCGAGAATTCATATCGGTGACCCATTTACCCCTACACGTGTTGATTTTACAATATCCTGACATTTTCACGTTGTTGTAGTATTTCCAAAAAGGGCTTCGTATTCGAAAGTTATATTATTTTATTATAAGAGAATTTTAAATTCTCAATTCTGTATCAATACGATTTAAATTATTTCAGTTTATTATAATAGAATTTTGAATTCTAAATTCTATTGCTAATATGATTTCAATTATTTTAGTTTATTATAATAGAATTAAAAATTTTGAATTCTGTATTAATATGACTTGAATTGTTTTAGTTTATTATAATAGAATTTTAATTCTGGTATTTGTTAATTTATTGATTTCCGATGTTTGAATATTCGTCGATTTTCAGACTATTTCTTACGATGTCAATATATTAATTTATTTGTATCATAATAGCTTGAAATTCTAGTTGCAATTTATCTCGTAATTTACGATTCTAGTGCGTTAGAGAGTTCTGAAACACCGATATTCTAATTTGGATTCAGACATTTCAACTTCCTATTTAAATATGCCAGTATGTATTTAGAAATTATTGGTATTCCAATCCTTGATATTCCACAGTATACTGAAATAACACGTATCTTACTTAACGTAAATTGACATGTTAAGATATTGAAATACCAATACTGCAATGGAAAATATTTTAGATAAAAAATTATT